AGGACAGCCTCTTGATGATAGAATGGCAGAAAACGCCACCGCGCGTTATTTAACGCCACCGCGCGTTATTTAACGCCACCGCGCGTTCGCGCGTTCTTTACGGCACCACGCGTGGTTTTCGCGCGTTATTTTGCGCGTTCGCACGTTATTTACGCCACCGCGCGTTAGGATTTGCACGTAAAAACACGCCCGATTTATGACCCCAACGGCTTGCCATATCTTTACCTCCCCGAACACGTCCGGTCCGGACCAGCAGCGGCCGACGCACCGTCACGTGCTTGACGCACGCTGAATGTCGCTCCGTCACGTACTTGACGCACGCTGAATGTTCGGACCAGAGGCAGAGACCGGGTTGAGGATGCTGCTCACACCAGCTCAGAGGAGCTGCCTCAGCGGGGTTGTCTACCAGCCAGAGGCGGTGTAAAATGCACCGAAGCGGACCGGGTGTTCTGCTCGGCCAGGCAGAGCTCGGCTGCAGCTCCTCGTCGTTGCTCCGCTTTTTATTATTGTAGTTTTTTTTTTTAATCAGTTATTATTTCCAGGTCAGAGTCACTGTTTCCTGTGCGGCTCGTTTGCACTAAAAATGGCCGGAGATGGCGGCGCTCTGAAGGATATCAATGAGATTAAATCCCAGTTCCGGACCAGAGAGGGCTTCTACAAACTGCTCACCCTCTCGGACTCGCAGCAGCGGGGCGGGCTGCCGCGGGGCCCGTCCGCCGGAGCCACGCTGGGGCCCGGGGCAGGAGCCGGACCGATCCCCGGCGGAGGGGTCGGGCTGCTGCAGGGGCCCGCCGCCGCCGCTGCCGCCGCCGCAGCTGCTGCAGCCTCATCCTCCTCCAATGCCGCAACCAACTCGTCTCCGGCGGGCTTCCTGCCGCCGGTCCGGGTCTCCATGGTGAAGCTGCAGCCCGAAGACCCAAGCGAGGAGTCGGAGCGGGTGTGCTTCAACATCGGCAGGGAGCTTTATTTCTACACGTACACCAACATCAAGAAGGTGAGCCCGCTCCGCTCCTCCGCTGCTACACTTAGCTTAGCTTAGCATGCTAATCTGCTAGCACTGATGCTGCAGCCTGAATTTGTTTAAAACCGAGCCTCTTGTGAACATTTAGACCACATTTTTTAAAAGTAAACAAATAAATCATTTGGATATTTTCAAAGCAGGGAAACGGTGATGCTGGATTAAACAAGCTGTTTATCTATGGATGATAATTTACAGTTTGTGGTGAAATTATTGAATAATTTGGGGACTTTTAATGATTTATTTGGCCTATTCTCTTCCCAAGATGAGATGATTACCTTGTGCAAGTACAGTAATTTTTACAAACAATAACTGTGTGCATAAATTTGAATTTGTTCTGTATTTTTTTCTAACCAGGGGCAACACTAAGGTGGGGGGTCAAAGGGGGCAAAGGCTTTCTAGATTATTTAGCTGGCTCCCTCCTGCCATATAAGTCTGCACAATATTAGAAAAATGTGCAATACTGTTGTAGAATATTACAATGACAATATTAGTTATTAACCCTAACCACATTATGATTCTCAATATTTTTATTTTGTTTTGTTTTTGTGGGGGGTAGCTTGTTTCAAATAATGTTATGTTAATATTATGTGTGTATCACACTTTTTACAAAAAAAGAGATATTTCTATGCCCTTCCTAAATTATATTTGAATGAACATTGTTTAACCTTAAAAGTCCAGTTTTTAAATTAAATGTTGCTGAAACAGCAAGTTTCTCAGTGGATCTGTGCTCCACAGTGCAGCCTAGGTGGAGTAGTCAAACACAGATCCACTGATCCTTCAACACAGAGCATCTTCAGAAGACAAGCTGATAAAATAAATGTTAAAAATCTGTATTGATCCATACATGCTTGAGTTGGATTTACTGAAATTATGTTGAGAGGTTATACTCAACTGAACTGAGTAAATTTAAAGCGATTATTCAATTTACTTTATAAGAGAATGTGAACTAACTGTGTTAGATTTACTGAATTCAGTTGAGTAGAACCTGTTGACAGTTAATTTAATTAAATCCAACGCAAACATTTAATTTTTTTTAGTGTAGTGTTTATTGAACCTAGAGCACTTCAGTACAGATGCATATATTGTTGCACCCCTATAGGTAATTGGACTGAACTTATAGAGCGCTTTATCAAGTCCCTCCGGACCCATAGTACTTTACACTTGTAGACGTTCACACTCGTTCACACACTGATGGTGGTAAGCTACATTGTAGCCACAGCTGCCCTGGGGCACACTGACAGAAGTGAGGCTGCCATGCATCGGCACTACCAGACCCTCTGACCACCATCAGCAGGCAAGGCAGGTGAAGTGTCTTGCCCAAGGACACAACGACTGAGACGGCTGGACGGGGGATCAAACCGGCCACTTCCTGTTCCAGGACGGCTCCCCTAAACACTCCGCCACAGCCACCCCAATGTATTGTTAAGATATTACAAAATTATGT